TAGGATGAATCTTACTGTCTCCTAGCAAACTAAGATCCCAGTGAACATGTTTGTGTGTCTCCTGCCCTGATAGCTCCTCCTGATGCCTGTGTGTATAACCAGCACGGCCGCGGCTCCACCACGCGATCGCTGCACGTCCCGGGTTTCCAACACGGGCAGCTCCACTCCTCCCCTCCCCACCACACGCCCGCGCACCTGGGGGCCACCAACATGGAGCCGGTTTGCCATCTCTTTATCATTCCTTTGAACGGTTAGGTGTATTTTCCAATGTAGGGTAGTGCCATTTCAGGATGGTTGCATGTCCATTTACCCTATACTTGTAGCATAGTGATGAATGTGTAGGTGAAGGTTAGACATCCAGGTAATAAGATATGCGAAAAACAGTCACTCGAGCTACTGTATATGATTTTGGAAATGGTCAGACGTTTCAGCTAGCATCCAGAACCTTTCGTCAGTGTCACTGACGAAAGGTAGTAGATGCTACCTGAAACGTCTGACCATTTCCAAAATCATACCCAGTTGCTTGAGTAACTGTTTTTTGGTGTACAGTGATAAATGATTTAAAGAAAACCTGAATCACCTTCTATAGAAGAGGCCCAAGTCGGCACCGCCTGAACCACAGATGTATCTGGAGGAATCTTACCGCAGACGGGAAAGACGAACTTCCGGCAACGAGGCGATGTTTCCCAGGCACCTGATGAGTCTCCTCAGCCTGGAGTCTTTAACTTTTCAAGTGCAGCAAGCCCCCTACTGGAGCCGGAGGGAACAGCAGACAAGAGAGCATCTAGTTCAACATGCACAGCAACTTCATCCTTATCCTCACAGAGAGAAACCGTCAAGCAGGAATGAACAACAACACATGGAGCGCAGGCCTGCACAGAGACAGTACATTCCACCTCCCAAGCGGGAGGGCTGGCAACAGAAACAACAGCAAACTCATCCTAAGGGCCAGCAACACAAGCATCCGCAGTCCAGGGACAGGGCTACACAGCAAACTCACCCTGCCCAGGGGACACCCTACCCCAGGGATGTGTCAACTGTGGGGGAAGGTGCACAGGTCTGAATTCACCTGGTTGTGTTGATTGGGTTACATGTTTTCTGGTACAGTTTTCAGAACATACAAAAGTTTGTGATGTACATCTGAAAATGACTTAAGTGTGCAGTCAAGCCTGTCTGTAGTGACCTCTCCCTGGGCTTAAAATAATTAAAATGAATTAAACATTATTTGAAGAAAAAGGTAGGCAGCCACTATGGACAGGATTCTTAATGCTTTGGACAATGGGAAAAAAAGGATAAAGTGACAACCAAGTAGTGGCCACTATTAATGACCAGGTAGTCCTTACATAGGGATGGTCACTTTTGCAGGTTTGGACTGTACTACTTCTTTCACTGAAAGTTAACAGCATTGATCATAGGTGTAAGTATTGATTAATACAAATGTTCTGTCTAAAGTGATGAAGACTTTATGTGGTGTTTGTTGCTTGTCAGATGGCAGCTGAGAACAAGGCTACCAGTATGACATCTGGGTCATCAGAAGACTGGGATGATGCCATTGATGACTGGACTGAGGGCAACCAAGACAACAGAGAGCTCAAGGTGACTAATAATGACTAATCTGTAACTGTGATAGGACATGAACAAAGACGTCAATAACTGTAACAGTCTCTTTATGGAAGTGTCTGTGCATATTATGTATTGAAGTTGGAAGGAATATTCGTTCAGTGCCCTAATAACAAATTAAGGCGGTTTATAAAAGGTGGTCCAACTACTAAACTTGTACAAATGTTGACATTTCTGTAATCTATCTTTCAACCTGTCAAGATTTTAAAGGTACATGTATGATGCATGTGATGTGAAAGTTGCCTTCCACGTGACATAGGATCCCCTATCATCCCAGCAGCCTGTTCTACAACAGCTATGTAAGCAGCAGCTGGCTGAAGGAACAAGTGAAGCAAACGGTTTCATAACAGCAACTGGTAAGGGAATAATATACATTATGTACATTGTAACTAAAGGTGTCAAGCCTACATGTATACTGTAAACCACTTTATGTTCCTGGTAGCATAATTTTGCAGAAAAATGTACATGTTTGCAGAACAGTAGGTGCAGAAAAAAGAAAGTCGGCATTAATGATAAGTTTGTGGTACAGAATAGACCATGTATGTAAAAATATCATGATTTAAAGTACACGTATCTATGATATATATATATACAGCACTTGATCATTTTGGCATTACTTTGTACACGTCTGTGCCCAGTAGATGAAACGGAACCAGACAGTACATCTGTGAGTGGCTCCAACTCTCCAGCACGGTCCGTCCAGTCTGCTCGTAGTGTGTTTGATGAGGAAGACTGGGTGGAGGGAGAGGACCCCCTGTCTCAGAGGTCAGACTTAGGCAGTCTGCAGGAGACTACCCAACCTGGGCCTCCAAACACACAGGACTATTTGTGAGTGGTCCAGTGTCACAGTACTAGTATTCTATAATTTTTACTTCCAAGAAGACTAAAATGAAATAGTCATCATCAGTCAAGTATCATAACATTTGTTTTGTCAGATACAGCAAAAAATTGTGAAAAGCCCAACATTTTTTTTACTCTTATGAAGGCTAAAAGGAAATGCTCCAAATATGTCCTTTATTCTGTCAGATACAGCAAAAAACTAGCGAAAAGCCAGGAAAGTTTTTTTACTCCCAAGAAGACTAAAATGAAATGCTGCAAATATCATGTCATTTATTTTGTTAGGTTCAGGAAAAAAATAGTGTGATAAAATGCTCCAAAGGTTTTATTTGTTACAAGCAGTATTGTGCTTATTTCTGCACCCCAAGAGGCTGCTTTAAACCCAAACCCCCATAACGATGATTCTTTGAAGATGTTTTGAACTAAGAAATGAGACAGGTCTGTCCATGACAACACTAGGATCCCCAATGTCTGTTTCAGGATGCAGTCAGGGAACACAACCAGGCAACCCGCTACAGAATCGCGCTCACGCAGGAACGGTACAGGTGCAAGGTCCAGGCAAAGTGGTGGTACAAACAACTTCGGGGGCGCATGCCACCTTTGTGGTCAGAAAGGACATAAACAGACTGACTGTCCCAGTGTTAATGTGAATAATGGCAGAAGGGAACAGAAGGTGAGTTATACATGTTGTAATCATTGTTTTACACCGACGCTAGACTGCAGTATGGCTTGCTACCCCAGCCAGTGTTCCTTTTAAAGCTTAAAATAGACTACAAGCCAGTTTTACTTCATTCACTTATATAGCAATATAGACAAATCCCTTGTCCCAGCATTTTGTATGCTATGCTATCATTAATACAATACTAAAATTCAAGGCTATTATCTATATCTTGGATCATAGCAGTTTCAGCAGTTAAAATTTGACTGTGTTGTAATACTTGTGCATCATTACATTTTTTTAAAACAATGGGAAATTGATACACAGTGTTGGACTCTGGTTGACTTACGAGTTGATCTACCATTTTGTATTTCAGAATGGCAGAAAGGGAGGCAGAGGGAGAAGAAATAACCGCTGGTAGAGACTGAGCAGGCAGCTTGTTACGGTTTATTGTAGTCATGATAGTGGAGTTTATTTTTCGGTTGGTGGATAGCAAGTCTACCTCAGAGGATGAAAGAGACTCAAGCCTGTTTTATTTTGAGATATGCTTCATTGTTCATTCAGTATTCACTTATTAACATAAGTAGAACATTTATTTTACTAATAATGTCACATACCAAGTAAGACCAGGTTAATGTTTCGATCAGTCTTCATGCCACAAATCGTCTATCGTCAAGAGAAAACCAGATATGCATAAA